ACATGCACATAAAATTAGGTAAAAAAATTGGTTGAACCTTGAGCAACACTTGTGTCCTAAATGAACCCAGTGAAGGTGTATAAATGACTCTTTTCTCTAAATTTCCTAGTGGCTAATTGTTAGAATATTGAATATTTGAAGTATTCTTTATTGTGGGCATGATTTTAGCCCATCGAGGAACTACAATATTTTCAGTGATTTTCTACTGTGTACAAAGTTACGCTATTGAAAATCACCAAAATGAGTTTAACCCTGTTATCCCCAGAATTGATTAAGTTGTAGCTTCTCCCTGTAATTCCAATATGTTCCCTAATGCAAACAAGTTAAGGGAATATTCAAGCTTATCAGCAAGAGGGTGTTGTGTGGTTATAACACAAAATTCTCCTGTCTAATTCACAAGGATCTGTTCAGCAGTCAGTTGGGAGAAATACTGATTAGATCTTGGGACTTACATAATCAACCAAGAACTGCAGCTGTGGATGATTAGGGATGAAGAAGATTTTTATGTATTTCAAATGACCAACTTGATGTAGCCCAATGAGGAAATTCTGTTTTTTGTTTTTTTTTTGTTTTTTTGTTTAATACTTTAAGCCCCACATTTGTGGTGAATTTACCCTTAAACACCAAAGAGCAGTAAGCATCTAATTTCTCCCAATGGCATCATCCTGTAATAAAAATGGTTGCAAACATAAGAAGCTCTTGGTTGTTGGACAAATTGTCCCTGTATGTACGATGATGATAGAGAGTGCATAGGGAACAGTATGAAGAACTTGCATATTGATGTTAGGGTGTAAAGGGTTAATTTATAATAAAATCTTCCTTCAGGTGGTTTTGAACTAGAAAACTTTGTATAGAAAACCCTTGTAATTTCACTTTTGCTGTTTTTTTTTCTTTTTTAGGTGACATTTAATCCTCAGGATAACACTCAGCTATGTGTGGTAGGGAATGGAATCTTCAAGTTGTTTCGTTACAGTGAGGGTAATCTTAAACAGTTTGCTTTCCAGAAAATGGAGCCACAAAACTTCCTCTGCCAGGCATGGGTGTCAGATGAAAGAATCATAGCTGGGACAGATAGTGGAAGACTTCTGTTGTTTGAATCAGGAGAACTGAAGAGTGAATTTCATGTTGGTGGAGGTGGGGCAAATGCTTCTGCTCCCACAAGGTATGAGTCAGTTATTGACGTCAAAAGAGTGCAAAAAAGCAAAATGGTCAAGGTTTGAACCCTGGATGTTGTCATTGTGTTGTTTTCTTGGGCTCAGAACTGACAGTTCTTGTAACCCTTTTAGACGACTGAGTGGAGTGTGGTACTGTGAGATGAAAGTATCTTTGCCCAAGAATATGATACAATGAGCCTGTTAGGTCTTGAACCTGGACTTCTTGACCCAGACTCTACTGTCTTTATTGTAATGCCATTGCGTTTTCCACCCAACAAATATCAGGATTTACTTTAAAGCAGTACTTTATGGGATTTCCACCATTAACAAGAAATGCAGCCTGAACATACAACTATTAGAAAGTGCTATTTTTATATTTAGATAAATTATTTGAACACATAATTGACAAAAAGATTTACATAAAGCTTTATAGCCTCTTACTGTCTCAAACACCCTTTTCCTCTTTGTTAACTCACTGACTTAACTATGAATGTGGAAGAGATTATTGCAGCAATGAACACTACTTATGCTTCCATATTCATTTCTTCATCTGCTGTTTATATAATTATATGATTTTCTTATATTTACAGTTATTTGACTAAACTGTATAAATATTTTCAATGGCTTGCAAGGCTGAGACCCCCTTGAATTCAAGAAGGGGGCCCACTTGACCTTTTTTGGCCAACTTCTAGAGTAAACCTTTGAATTCATTTTAATGATATTTTTTCAGGCAAAGTATGGCCAGTGTACCTGAAAGTGGTGTAAGCCAGGATGCTCCTCCACAAGTCACATGCATTATTGCATTTTCGAAAGGCTTCATCTGTTCAGGGGGAGCAGGGACAGTACACCTCTTTGAGAAAACTGAGGAAAAAGACTTCTACAAGAAGGCCAGAGAGATTAAGATTCCTGTCGACACGCAGAGTCCAGATCCACAACTATTAGAGAATCAAGAGATTGTCAATCTTACTGTGAGCCCATCAGAGGAAACTCTTGTCTGCAGCACCAAGACAAGTCAGCTGTACTGTATCACCATGTCCACTGCTGATCTTGGCAAGGTAAAGAAAATAAGGGCAAATGGAAACAACTGTTCATAATAGAGAAAATGTCTTTTGTCTTGTCATGAGCATGAAACAAAGAAAATTTTTTAGTTCCCACGAGGAATCCAAGATCTTCAGATTTCAGTCTAATACTCCTCAAACTGTTTATGATGTAAATTTTAAATCAAAATAATTAACATCATTCTACAACAATAAAATTAAAAGCTCTCTTATTTTCATTAAAAGTTATAGAATAAAATTGAGTCAAATTAATTTTAAATAATATAATTTCAAATCAAAAGTAAAGTAATTTATAAAAGTGATCATCTAAGTACTGGTAGGCTAAAATATTAAAGGTCAACATCTATGTCAACTTTTCATTGTAACACAATTTTAAAGTTCTTTTCCGCTCAAGTGTGTAATTACTTAATTTAACCTCAATGAGCTTTAAGATATTAAATGTGAAGGTCAGATTTGTTATTAAATTCCTTGATACCTTTCACTCCAAGGAGTAACCAAAAAATGATTTCTCTTCCTGCAATATAATTACATTCTTAAGCAGAATGTTGATGAGAGGAAAGAGAAAGATCAACCAGGACATAATATGCCCTGGTTGATCTTATGACTTTAGTCCTAAGGATTTAGAGTTACAATGAACAATATTATTGTTCGATGTAACTCGAATTCCTTAGGACTAAAGTCATTAGAAATGTTTGGCAGATTGTGTGGATAACTTTTATTTAAATCTTTGGAGTGGAAGGGTTAAACATCATAAATCTTGTTAATGGAATAAAGTTTCTTTTAAAGATATAAAATCAATAAGTTCATAACATGGTATTGCTTTATTTACTTACAGAAAGGAAAGAGAGGCAAAAAAGCAGCCAGAAAAATAACTGTAATTGTTAGTATATGTCATTGGATATTTTCCTTTGAGATATGCACATACACAACAAACTGCAGTCACTTATATTTAATATTACAAAAACAGGCGCATTATAATTCACAAATCAATTCAAAGCTTTCACATCCATCCTGGCAACCCATGGGCATTTGAGTGGGGGGGGGTGGGGGGATTTTAACCTCACCTGGGTGGGGTGGGATATTTGAACTGGAACTTTCAAGAAGATAAATATGTTTTATCTTTTTATATGGACATGTTTTTAGGTAAAAAGTTCACCTCCTTAAGCAGGTAGCTTAGAAGAAAAGGTCTACAAGAAAGTCATGGTTGCTTATCTTGCCTGTTACAAAAAAATTGATGTTCAAATCTGACATTTGGGTGGGGCATATGAACACAAATTTGAACAAACTAACCTTGAAAGGTTTAAATGCCCAGAGGGTTGCCCTAAGGAGAGGGGTATGTTGAGGCTTTGAATTAATCAATAGTTACATAACTGCAACTTAAAATGACTTACAACTACATGTGTAATGATTGAACTACACACTAAATCACAAAATATATTTTGGTGATAATCATCAAAGGTATGTTCTTTCTATCCCTAAGTTTGAATTTCCCACTGACTGATTAGTGAACACATTGCCGTACATCACTCAAAAGTTATTATAGTTTTGTAATCTCTTGAGCTCTAGTATTATCCATGACGTTGTCTTGAGAAACATCAAGACTCTGGCGTAAACCAAACTAAATACTCCCTCTTGCATCAGACTTGTGCTGTATATTATTTTCTGCACTGGTGTATGCTTTTTTTGGAATGAAATCAATTTGCTGTCAGAAAACGAACTTTCTGCATGTTCAGGGCTGCATCATTTTTTTTATCAAAATGTAATTTGACCTTGTGATTTAATATTCCCTCAATGTGCCTTTTATGCTTGCATACATGTATCTTGATTTCTCAAAAATGTACTCTGTAGGGTGATATTGCCACATTTGAGCTGTTGTCACAGGCATTCCATCGTGGTGTTATCACTGGTATGGATGTTTGTATACGAAAACCACTGATAGCTACTTGTGGTTTGGACAGATCTGTGAGAATATGGAATTATGAAGTTTGGTGAGTTTTCAATTCTTTAAGTATTTGATGGTCATATTTTCAAGGCTTTCCTTTGCTGTTTTGTTGTCATACATGTTGTCTTAATCAGGTTAAAGATTGTCAGATTCTATGCACTCTCCTCTAATCAAAGATAGACCTTTAATTTATTCAAAGCTCAATCAACTCAAGGTACATGGATAACTTAAACTAAATGTAGAGTTAAATGCATTCAGTGGTCTTTACAGCCTTTCACAATATAGTTAAAACGATAAAGTTTATGTTCGCAGGCACAAATATGTTTTAAAACTCTTAAACAACAGTTAACCCTTTAACTGACCCTTTAGTGACCAAGACAGAATTTCTCCTTACAATATCAATACAATATCAAGCAGACAATTGATGAGAATAAAGAAAAACATAAGTTGGGGGATTATAAGTTGATTCAATACCAAATTCTCCAAACTAACCATAGGAACTGTATGGCAGATAGTTAGGAGAATTACTAATGAGATCTTGGAAGCTAAAGGGTTAAAGTGAGCTCTGAGAAGGGTTCAAAATATAATTATGCTCAAGAAGATTTTTTCATTTTAGAGGGCCTGCCAAATTCTCTATTTTAGCCCGCAAAATGCGCCATGTCACCCAACAAATTGATAATAATAGGGATTTTGTACTTAGTTTCAATTTTCATCTTGCAGTTCATTGGAGCAATATAAGGAATTCCAGGAAGAGTGCTACAGCATAGCCCTCCACCCCTCTGGACTGTACATCTTGGTGGGATTCAGTGACAAGCTGCGACTTATGAACCTGTTGATTGATGATATCAGATCTTTTAAAGAATTTACCATCAGAGGCTGTAGAGAGGTCAGTGTGTTTATTAAGATGCAGAAAGGGAGTTTCCCTGGTGAAAATCTTTCAAGGATCTTTAAGGATCTTACAAGATCTTCATGAGGACCTTTGAGGATCCTCTTGAGGATCTTCATGAGGATCTTCAAAATTCTTGTTAAGATCTTCAAGGATCCTTCATTTTCTTGCCAAGATCTTCAAGGATCCTTCATTTTCTTGCCAAGATCTTCAAGGATCCTTCATTTTCTTGCCAAGATCTTCAAGGATCTTTGATTTTCTTGCCAAGATCTTCAAGGATCCTTCATTTTCTTGCCAAGATCTTCAAGGATCTTTGATTTTCTTGCCAAGATCTTCAAGGATCTTTGACTTTCTTGCCAGGATCTTTAAGGATCTTTCATTTTCCTGTCAAGATCCTTGAAGATCTTGTCTGGATCTTCAAAGATCTTTACATGAACTTTGAAGATTCTTTAAAGATCTTTGAAAATTCTTTGAGGATCTTCCAAATTCTTGTTAAGATCTTTCAGGATCTCTCATTTTCTTGCCAAGATCTTCAAGGATCTTGTTGAAAATTTTGAAGATCCTTAAAGATCTTGGAAAGAAAATAAAAGATCCTTAAAGATCTTGGCAAGAAATTGAAAGATCTTTGAAGATCCTGGCAAAAAAAAGAAAGATCCTTGAAGATTTTGACGGCCAAATTAAAGATCTTTGCAAGAAATTTGAAGATCCTTAAAGATCTTGACAAGAATGTCAGGAATCCTTGAAGATCCTGGCAAGGAAATGGAAGATCGTTGAAGATCTTAGCAAGAATGTTATAGAACCTTCGAACTTTTGACAAGAAAATAAGCATACTTAAATCCTCATACTAAGTTAAAAAGAAAAATTGAACCAAACATAAAAAAATGAAGATAAAACTTTTTTTATTGCTAAACGAGAATTACCCATCCTTTTCTAGTAAGACTACTTCTACACTATTTCTGTTCAGATTTTAGGTTAGTACTAAGATTTTCATTTTCCAAAAAATCTGGCAACAGTCCAGCTCAAAGGTAAAAAGACCAAAATATATGTGTTAAACTTGTCTAGGACTAGACTATGACCAGACTAAGACTACTCTTACAGAGGGGGTAAACATGAAAAAAAGGCAAACAAGAGTACTTCAATGACTATATTTCTGAACCATATTAACCTATATACCAAAGGAAAGCTTAGGAATCACACATACTGAATATAACTAATATGTTGCCCTAAACTAATTTGTTATTTGACATCAGATCAATTTGTCCACCACATGGTGTGAAAAACCTAAGTATACTTGAGAAAAGATAACTGCACAAAGATTGCATGAAATCAAGTGTTTTTTGTGTCAAAACAAAGTACTAGGGTCGTTCTTTTGGATGAGCTAAGGAACTTTTGGGGTCGTTTATATTATGGGCACAGTGCCCGTTCAAAGTTCACCGAGATTATTAGGTGAGTTATTCCACAATATCTTACTTAAAATTCAGCTTATGGAGAAACTGTCAGCTTATCCAACTCAACTCAGTAAGAGGATACAGCCCTGAAAACTTCAGATTAATTGAACTAATACATCCTGAGGTACAAAATAAGTGTTTTCGGTAATTCATATGACAACCTCTAAAAGAGCTTTTTAGGTTGTTACACAGAACCAAGTAAATTCACACCTTCTTCAGAAACATGTCCTTCAGTGAGCGTCGAGGAGAATCTCTCTAGATCGATAAGCCTTTATCCTTGTCCCTGTAACACATCATTTGCATCCTCACTCTCCAAGAGCTCAGAGCAAGAATCATTAGGCGAGGATGGCATCTTCATTTTCTTTCCAGAAGTACCAATGAATTATTTTCATTAAGCCTCAGAGTCAGAGCAATCGCGAGACCTGCTTGGAGTTTGATTGACGATTGCGGTTATTTCTGTCTCTCTTTTCGCTTGTTTCTGAACTCCAGAAAACGCCTTTCCTTTACTTTTATTTCTGTGTACATTTTCCCCTTAGTTCCGACCATTGTCGATGATATTTGCCGTAACAACGAGCTTCTTATGTTTTTATGCGACCGTTAAAAATCTCGGCGCGTATAAATTCCTATCCCATAATGCAAAACCCTATTTACTGTCATGTAAGTTGTCACAAAGTTTCCCTAAAGCCTCAAGCATGGCGTTGCTATGCGTTAACCTTCATTACACTTATTGCAGAATAATTTTCTGCGAAAATTCCTTGTTGTGTTTAAATTATCCATATCAGATTAAAAAAGGATCGTTGCAAAGAGCTGTACAAAATCATGAAATGAATCTTTTAAAGATATTTGGAAGATCCTTTTCAATTCCTTGAGGATCTTGAAGGATTGTAGAACAGATTGTGCAAAGATCTTGACTAGAATTCTTAAGGATCTTAGCAAAGATCTTAGCAGGATCCCTGACAGGTTCTTTTGAAGGTCTTTAAAAGATCCTCATTAAATCCTTGAGGATCCTGAAGGATCCTTGAAAAGATCCTGCAAAGATCTTGACTTAAGGATCCTTGTAAGATCCTGATCAAATTCCTAAGGATCCTGGCAAAGATCTTTACAGGATCCTTGAAAGGATCTTTTGTAGGTCTTTAAAAGATCCTCATTAAATCCTTGAGGATCTTGAAGGATCCTTGAAAAGATCTTGCAAAGATCTTGAGTAGGATCCTTGTAAGATCCTGATCAAATCCTTAAGGATCCTTGCAAAGATCTTAATAGGATCCTTGAAAGGATCTTTGGAAGGTCTTTAAAAGATCCTCATTAAATCCTTGAGGATCTTGAAAGATCCTCAAAAAGATCCTGCAAAGATCTTGACTAGGATCCTTGCAAGATCCTGATTAAATCCTTAAGGATCCTTACAAAGATCTTGAAAGGATCCTTGAAAGGATCTTTTGAGGGTCTTTGAAAGATCCTTGATAAATCCTTGAGGATCTTGAAGGATCCTTGAAAAGAACTTTGCGAGGATCCTTATGAGGATCTTTGTAATATCCTTTGAGGATCTTTATCAAATCCTTGAGGATCTTAACAAACGTTTTTGCTTACAAAGATCTTTGAGGATCTTTTACAGATCCTTTAAAGATCTTTTAAAGATCCTTGTCCTTAAGGATCTTTGGCAGGTCTTTGTCAATCCTTGAAGATCCTCAAAGATCCTGTGAGGTTTTTCACCAGGGTTTAAGGGGAAGAACAGTTCCCAAACAGAATTATGGCCATAATATCTTTTGTTGAATGATCCATTTATTACGATTATCAGTTGAGTGAGGCACGGAAAAAGTTTCGTGGCGGGATTATTACAGATAAAGTACGGTGTTGTCACGGGCGACCTTCCTCGTTTCTAGTGATAACCAAATTTCAAGAACCGTGTGTCACCAACCATCAAACCTTAAAGCCCGCCAAAATAGGTCAAACAACTCGTTACCACTGGAAATGAGGCTACTGTAGTTGCCCGTGACAACAGCACGATTTTAACGTCAAAATGTGTTCGCTAAGGTTCTGTCTCGCCTCACCCAACTGAAAATCGTCGTAATCACACAGTGGCAAGTATTAGGAACAGCGACTTAATATTGTGAGACCTACATGAGCCAAGTATGTAAGATGAAGTTTCGTTAGCAATTTTAATTGACTTAAAAGACTTTTAATTCCTGAAAGGAAAACGATTCAGAGACTTCGGAGGTCTTTAAAAGAAGTGATTGACATGTGACTTCTTCCCCCAAACTTATCAGGTAGAAGTTGTTATCTTGATCAAGCACCAAATTTTCGTAACTAATTTTCAAGGAAAAAAATGTGTAGCAGCTAAAGGGGAATAAGTAACTCCTAGATCTTGGCAGTTAAAGGGTTGATACTCCTGCATGACCAATGCAAATCATAAAGTAGTTTCTGAGGCATTCATACCATAGCTTATTTCTTGTACTGTCCAAAGACCCGTTCAGGAGATGAAAAAATTTGTTGTACCTTGTTTTTCTATGAACAGACCATTTTCCTTCGCTGGTAATTTATATGAGTAACTCTAGACAAAGTTCTTCCCTAATTGAATTATTTTTTTCGAGGAGCCTTTCCACTTTAGAACCAAAACTGTTTTACTGCGTTATTGAGGTTTGGGATAATTTTTTCTTCAGTGTTCCTTCAGTAATGGTGGTCATCTCTTTGCTGCTGTGCATGGTAATGTGATTCAGCTGTACTCCTCCACAACCTTTGAGAATGTTGGCAATCTGAAAGGACACAATGGCAAGGTAACTTAAATTTGCGTTAACTCATAATAAGAGAAAGTCTTATTTTATGTTTTTCCCCCTGTGTGTAAGTGATGACATTATTGGATCTAGAAACCTAAAAAAAGGAATGATTTGGAATAAGGGGGTAGAACCTCGGTTTTGACTCAAGATTCTTCCTTACCTCATCCAACGTTTGTTTCAAATGGTTATTATCCTTTTAAACGTAAGGACTGTTACATTTTTTTTAAGGTTCGCCAAGTAATCTGGAGCCAGGATGACAGTAAAATAATTTCATGTGGTATGGATGGTGCCGTGTATGAGTGGAATGTAACCAGTTACAAGCGTGAAGGAGAGAGTGTTCTCAAATCCTGTAGCTACACCGGTGTTTCTGTGTCCCCGGACAGCAGGACAACTTTTGCTGTGGGCTCTGACAGGACTCTCAAGGAAATTTGTGACTCACAGGTAGGATTTTAAGTATATAAACTATATATACATTGTGTAATGACCAGGAAAAGCGTTTACATAGTGTCGTAATTCCAATCGGATTACGAACAGTCCCTTCTTTCATATTCACGTCTTTACCCGCAGTTCAAATATATGACTTTAAAACATTCACAGTCGTTTATTCACCTTTTCACGGGTTTATTTGAAACCAACTTAATGACCAGCTCCCATTTGGCTTGTTAGCTCATTTGGTAGAGCGTTGCACCAGCATCTTAGAGGTCATGGATTCAAATCCCGTACAGGCCTGAATTATTTTCAGGCCTTATTTTCTCTACTGTTCAATTAGTGTTAATTACTGCAAAGATCGCTTTTATATTCAAGTCCCTCCTTTCCGGCGAAGTCAGTCGCGCGAGTGCTCGTAGTCGAAATCATACCGGCCAATTAGAGGGAAGGAAATATCACAGCAAACTACCTGAAGCGTGGAAAAACACGAGAGGCCAACACACAATTGGTTTTAGTTTAGCGCCTGATTGGTAGAGAGCGTAGCGCGAATTTTCTTGACCAATCACAGACTGAAGCAAAGGAAAAAAGCTGATAGTTAGCCAGTTAATCTTTATGGGGGGATAGTACGGAAGACAGAGATAACCTTCTCCCTGAATGTACTAAAGAAATAAAAAACGTACCGAGTGCATTGTTGAGTTATATAAGCACGCGGGAATTTTTAAGAACACGAGAGAAGTGCGGAGAAGCACGAGCCGAAGGCGAGTGCTTCTCGCACTTCTCGAGTGTTTGCGCGTGCTCGTTCTGATGACATAGGTTGCGTGCATTATATCTCAACAGTGCACTCGTGTGACGTAAGGCGCGTGCTTTATGGAAATATAATGAACTCGTTCTGACCAATCACGGCGCGCGCATTTCTCTGAACATTTTATAAAACATTATACATCATTTCATGTTTGTAGGACAAAATACTGGTTCCCATACCAAGAATGATCGTGCTTGTTTGTAAAGTTCGTTCTCCCTCTCGAAGTTCTCTGGTCAACTATTCATGAACTTGCACAGAAACAAATGGTCTTAATGCGTTCATCTTATTTTTTTCTATCCAACAGATTCTCCGTGAAGTTCCTGCTAATGACATTGTTCTAACGCAGTGTGTGATGTCACGTTCTGGTCGAATGCTCTTCGCTGGAACCAGTTCAGGGACACTGCGCGCGATGAAATTTCCGCTGACCGTTCCTGGGGAATGGCAGGAACACCAAGTGCACTCTGGGGCAATCACTAAGGTAACCGTAGAATATAAAAAGGTTTGAAATTCGACTGCGCGTCGTAGGCTTATTTTACAAATTACTCACTCTTCTGTTTACCTTTTTCGTCAGATGCGCATGTCTTATGACGATCAATACCTGTTCACAGTATCCGAGGACGCTTGTTTGTTCATCTTTAAAGCTGTTGATAAGGAAGGCAGAGGGATGAAACGAGATAAGGAAGTGGGATATGCAGAGGAGATCCTTATCACCAAATCTGACTTGGAAGAAAAGGTCAGCGGCTATGAAAATCCATAAAGTCTAAAAATTTAGCCTTCAGAATTCAAGGTCGTCGTCTTCAATCCTTGTCAATAGAGCTGTGCAAGAGAATATAAACTATAATTTTTTGATGTGCGTTAGTGTTTGAGCATGTTGATGACTCATTGGTCGCATAGGTGGCTCAACCTATTACAAGGTAGTAATATGCAATTTAAGAGTCCATCCTAAGATTTTCTTTCAAGGGTGTGGGTATTGTGGCCCTACAATGCCTGTTTTCCGTCCCCCCCCTTCTTTTTCAACCTGGCATGCACTCGAGTATTGGAGACTCCACCCAACGCCCCCGGTTGAAGTTGAAACTGTCCGTAGAAAGATAGATAGTATAAGTTGCACTTTTTCGGTGTATGGTTTTTCATTAACAGCAAACCTTTTATCGTTCTCTCAACTTAGAATTCCATGATGGCTGAGCTTAAAACACGTGTGGAGGAACTCAAAATGGAAAACGAGTACCAGCTTCGTCTCAAAGACATGAACTACAATGAGAAAATCAAAGAACTCACGGAGAAGTTCATACAGGAGATGGAATCTTTGAAAACTAAAAACCAAGTTCTTAAGACCGACAAGGACAAAGAAGAAGCGAAACACGAGGAGGAGATAGCCGACTTTTTGGAAAAGCATGGCAAGGAATTGCAAGACCTGGAGTCGGCGAACAACCAGAAGCTTATGTCAGAATATGAGAAATATCAAGAGCTTCAGGCCAAGAGCCAGAAGATGCAAGAGGATTATGAACGACAGTTGACGGAAATGGAGGAATCCAAAGAACAAGCGTTGGAGGAACTGACGGAGTATTATGAGAATAAACTGACAGAGAAAAGCGCGCAGCTAGAACAGGTAAACAGGGCTACTTAGAGACATACACCAGAATAGAACTCATTCATCCCATATAATACAAATTCTTAACCACCCCACCCTGTGGATGAAATCTTCCCGCTCAACAGAAGAAATAAACAACATTGCGCTTCCGCGCCGTTACAGTTTTGTGTATCTGTAAAACAGATGATAACTGGGCAACTTAAAACAAACAACATTTTCCTCGCCTCTCCCTTAAAGTACAACCCCTTCCCCTTCCCCTTCCCCTTCCCAAATACAGCGTAAAAAAAAACTACACCATCCCGTCCACCTGAGAGATATGACTTCATAAAACAATCGTCTTTATTCAACTTACTATTCTCTGAAGTTTGGTTAAAGCCGCGGGAGAATGACAAGACTTCTACAGATAATAAAACTTAAGAATCTTTCGCTGGTTTTCGTTGTTCTTTCTTTAGAAAGTATAATTCTGTTTCGTTCGAAAGTCAAAGATTAGTTTAAGTTAAATTAAAAACTGTGATGTGTATTCGTGTAAGAAGTCTTGAGATACATTTTTAAGTTGATCATAAAAAAGAAAAGGAAACGCGACAGTTGTTCCAAGGAGGCACAACGTTATTCAATGGATAAATTGCTATCCAGTGGATAAATGTCAGCAAAACGTACTGCGCTCTCCATCGGGTGTATATCTTATTAGACGTTTTGATGTGTAAATATTTTTATGCAAAGTTTAGTCTAAATAGTTTAAATCCGTTCTTACCATTGTTGCTGATATTTATTACAGTCACAAGACGAGTCACGGCAGCAGTTACGAGAGTACGAAGAAACGAAGAAACAAATTGAAGAGGATGCAGACCGAGAAATCTTGGATATAAAAAACAAGTACGAACGAAGGCTGAGGGAGGAGAAAGAAGCAAATCTGAGACTGAAAGGCGAGACAGGGATTATGAGGAAAAAGGTAACATCGGTTTGGCTTTTTAATCCCTTGACCCTTAAGAGTGACCAGCATCTAATTTCTCCTTACAATATCACCCCTGAATCAAACATTAAGGTTATGAAAATAAAGGAAGTGATCATCAACTAAAGAAGCTCTTGATCGTTAATCAAATTCTCCTTGTCAGTAGCTTAGGAAATGTAAAGAGAACAGTATGGAGAATATGCATACTGATGTTAGGGTGTAAAGGGTTTATTAGAAGTTCTCCATTGTAGTAATTTTTAGGTTTTTAGCAGCTTCTTGGTAATCGCGGAATTAAAAGAATGTGTATCATTTTCGTAATTAAGGTTTGATGTTAGAAAACGTCATCTAGCTGTCATCTTCCAGTTAACATGTTAAAAAAAAGTTCTGGAAGGAAATGACAGAAACTGAAAGCTCTCATCATTAGCACTTCGGCACCAGCATCTCTTTGCACTTGGGAAAATATGAGATCTTGAGTGGCGCAAGCCTCCGACACGTCTGCAAATGCTAGCACTGATCATCAGTGCCAGACATCCGACAAACCTCTCCCCAGCTCGTCTCCGATCTTCCCGCCGATGGAAAAATCGCGCATCCTGCAGCGCTAATGATGAGGGTCTGGTTGCTAACTAAGGTTATCGTTGTCGATGTCACCTTCTCAAGCTACCTTATTTGTACTAAACAATGTCCCTTTTTTTTTTGGTGTAGTTTACGAGTCTACAAAAAGAAATTGACGATTACAAAGCTGAAATCCAACGCCAACAAAACGAGAATAACAAACTACAAGGAGTGATAAAGTCTCTGGAGAAGGACATCTATGGGCTGAAGAAGGAAATCCAGGAACGAGACGAAACGATTCAGGACAAGGTTGGGTGAAGGTTTTTTGTTTATTTTTGTAGATAATGCATTGGAGAAACATTTGATGGGTTGATTTACGGATTGTCTGTCTGACCGGCTAAATGACTAAATGACACACCGACACATCGATTTATTAACCAATTGATCCATCGATCGATTGGTAGGCTGTCTGATTGATTTACTGTCTAGCTGACTGACTGAGATACCGACAGGTGACGACCGGCTTACCAACCGTCAGGAGGACCAATGTACCGACTAACAACACGATCCCCTGCTGATTAGCTGAATAACTCGTGACTGATCCGTCAAATGACTTTTTATTTGCCCATGAGACAGACAGACAGACAGATAAAAAGAAAGGTAGACACACAAACAGAGAAATAGGCAGACAATCAGTATGCTAGATAGTAGGTCAGGACTAACAGACAGTTGTACGGTAGATAGAAACACTGAGGCAATCAGGGAGGTAGACAAAACAGACAGATCAATCAGACCAAGCGTGCACATAACCAACGAGACAGGCGCAACAAAAAGTAAATTAATCAAAAGACATAGAGATAGACAGGCTGAAGACCGACTGAAAGACAGACAGAGACATAGACAGGCTGAAGACCGACTGAAAGACAGACAGAGACATAGGCTGAAGACCGACTGAAAGACAGACAGAGACATAGACAGACTGAAGACCTACAGAAAGACAGATAGACTGACTGACTAACGGACCGACTGATTGACCGATTTAATCAATTTGAAGATTTTTAAAGAGTCCAAAATCGCACCTCTGAATGAACTTCGACCTTCTTTTCCAGGAAAAACGTATCTACGACTTAAAGAAGAAGAATCAAGAGCTTGAAAAGTTCAAATTTGTCTTGGATTATAAAATCAAGGAGCTGAAGAAACAAATAGAACCGAGAGAAAATGACATAAAAGCTATGAAAGAACAAATTCAAGAGGTAGGCGACCGTTACAAGTAAAAATGTCATTCCGTTACCAACCTGCAGCGGGCGTTTATCGTATTTTCGGTCATTGATGAACGAAAAATGGGCTGACCGTAAGAAATTCCCATGAAACACATAAAAATTGCAACTGAGCGACATCCAGATCAGCGTAAAACGCGCTGAAAGCTAGCGAGCATACAACTCTGCGATCAGACTTAAAGTTCTTGCTGTTGACCATTATTGACGTAGTTGCGCGCGCCCTGCAGAAATGCCCGCGCGCCTCGCAGAAATGTCAGTACGCCCTGCAGAAATTTCTGCGCGCTCTTGCGTTGCCTCTTACTTCTCGCGCGTGCTCGTATTCTTGTTGGGAGTTTTGGCGCGCGTTTTTCCCTATGTGTGCTGTGTCTCAGTCTTATTTTAACTTCGTTATCGTCTGCGTATCTTGATAAAAAAAAAAAAAAAAAAAAAAAAAAACGTCCTCGACGGTCTATTGATATTTGTTAGAGGAATAATTATAACCTATTGGTGTGAAAGGGTGAAGGATAGCGATCTACGTCACAATTGTTGTTGTTTATTTATACTTGATGACTAGTTGACCTTTTTCGGGAGACGTGGTGACCTCATGGTTGTAGTTCTCTGGACTCCGGGTGGTGAGGGGTCTGGGTTCGAGACCGGACCGGGTCATTGTGTTGTGTTCTGTATTTTGTGTTTTACGCTCACAGTCTCTCGCTCCATGGGGAAGTTGATGAAATATTGGGTGATAACCTTGCGATGGACTGCCATTCAAGGGAGGGGGGAGAGCAATACTTCTTATTGCTTCATGCCACATAATCTTTAGCAAAATGTGGGCTAGAAGCTCGAGATTTTACCGTACTTAACAATACTTAACATATTCTTGCCGCGAAAACGGAACAAGCTCTTTTGCAGTGTGGGCCACAAGCTAGAGAAGAGATTTAACCTTGCTTTGCATTTCCCTCTTCAACAGATGGAGAGCGAGCTTGAACGGTTCCACAAACAAAATACGAGCCTGGAATTGAACATCACTGAACTAAGACTGAAACTTAAGGCCACAGACAAAGAAATGCACATGGAGAGGCAAAGGGTAGGGAAAGTTTTAAACTTGGATTGTGTTACTTGCTGAGTAGAATTAAGCTGCTGATTTACTCACTTATCGGTATTGGCTGATTACGTTTTTTTTTCAATTTTAGGTGCGTGATGTTGAAGCTGTGGTGAAGAGATTTAAGACTGACCTTCATAACTGCGTCGGTTTTATACAAGAGCCCAAGAAACTCAAAGAGAATGTCAAGTCCTTGTATCAAAAATACGTCCAAGATGAATCGGTGAGGATAACTAGTTACTATTTTGTCTCCTAACATCGAACAGGTATCAAATCTGTCTTCTGAGCAATGAGAGTAAGCAGAAATAAATCATAGAATCATCGCTGGTACCATCGCTGGTACCAAGAGCGAAAAAATAAATTTAACTTGTACCAAGCGCGGGAAAACCTATGATCGATGCTAAGTCTTTGAAAAAGAAAATTAGTACATCACTGTGACTGAAATTATAAAATGTGGCTCAGTAGGAAAAAGGGTATCTTTACACTATCTGAACGAAAGTTTATCTTTCATGAGGAAGTAAGGATGGTACAGTGGTGAGAGCGCTCGCCTCCAGGCAGATCGCTGTGGCCTGGGTTCGATTCCCGGCGTCACATGTGGGTTCAGTTGTTGCTTCTCGTACTTGCTCCGAGGTTTTTTTCCTCCGGCTCCCCTATTTTGAATATTTAAATTGTTAAATTTCAATGCGCCTATATCTTTTGATTTAATTAATTTTTTTTTCGATTTTAGCTGGACTCAGCCGGCGTGGATGCGGACATTCAAAGAGAGTATGCGCGTCAGCGAGAACATCTTGAGAGAAGTGTGGCATCCTTACGAAAGAAGCTTGCTAAAGATTCTGAAATCCACAGGGCAGATAACGTCCGAATTATGCAGGTGAGGAAGTAAAAACTTTTGGACGTTGTAGGAGTTCGTTTGAGATGTAGCTTACGATGCACGTGGTTTTGATGGGGTGTATCTGCTCCTCTTGCGTTTGCTGCGCGTTCTACATGCATTCTTTTGCACTTAAGATGCTGTTAGCAGCGTGGCAGACGCATGACTGGAGCACAAGTCACGCACGATGGAACACGCAGTATTGGGGGAGCGTGCGAGCCCGTTTGTGTTTGTTAGGCGTTTCACTCACCTTCTTTTCGCACTCAAGATAATGTAAGCTGCACAGCAGGTGCACGGTAAGAATACAAGTAACATTTGCGACGGAACTTGCGGTTTTGGTTGAGTGTACTTGCCTGTCTTGCGTTTACTGGGCGTTTTACATGCGTTTATATCGCACTCAAGATGCTGGTAACTACGTTCCAGGCGCATGGCAAAAATACGTATTGCACTCGCGAAACGAAGCCCGTGTCTTCTCTCGCGCACATTCTGGTTTGACTTACTCATGTCCAGTATTACCGTCAAATAAAGCGCCGCGACTGGACTGCGGTGCTCTTTCGGAAATCTTTTGTTGTTTTCTCTTGTTACATCGTTTGCAAACTCTTTAAACATTTGATGTCGTTTTATTTTTCTTTTTTTAACAAAACAAAGAAACGGACAGGTCATTAAAAAGCCCCCTTCCTTTGTTGTTTTTGTTGTTGTTGTTTTTGAAATATTAATTGTATAAAATTGTAGAAGTATAAGGCACCGTATTGCACATATCACATGACATTTGATGCATCACACTTTACCTGAAGTATCATAAACACTCTCTTTTGCCAAAACGATAGGTGATAACTTATCGATACTGAGCAAACTTGTTTACAAAGATATCTTGTGCGCACTTCCTATCGTAACGTCATTTTTAAATTTTTTTTACCTTATCAGGAGAACGTCACTCTCATTAAAGAGATCAACGACTTAAGGCGTGAGCTTAAAATCGCCCGCACCCAAGTCCACGACCTGGAAACCGCATTAGGTGTTATGCGCAAACAACAGCAATTCCCCGAAGACGAAGAAATCGGGAATATGGAGAACAAACGGAAACTGTCCGAGGAAAATGTGGAAATGGAAAAAATGATAGATATGCAGAAGACTGAGATAAGGAAATTGCGAGTTCAAATAAAAGACATGGAGACCGTTATAAATTCCCGTCCGCCCTCTGGCACCAGGCTTCCGCCGGTCGCTGTTGGGTAGGATTGTGGCCTGAAGGCTCTTTTACTGAAAATCGTGTTACATTGTCCAGTTATCTAGCTTTTTTTTTTTTTTTTTCGAGTTTGGATGATGAGAGTTTTGTTCTTGCCTTGTAAATAGACACGTAGTCAATGCATTCGAGAAGGAAAGAATGAAAAGCCGGAACTGTCACTTAACAGCCTTTTTTTTTTTTTTAATCGTAACTGTACACTACTATCCGAAGAATATGTAAATAAATCTGTATTTTGAACATAGTTAGCTTACTTTTCTGTCTTGGATTTATAAAGTGCATAAAACGATTTTTTAGCAATCTACTCTTCAAAGACTTCGGTTGCCCCTTTATAGTTCATTGTTTTTGCGACTATGAGTCACGTTTTTGGTTACTTTTTGGGTTACGTTTACGTTACTTTTTGTGTTCGTTGCTGCGTTACCGTTTGAGTGCGGTACGGTGTCAATTTTCTTTTCAATGGTACTTTACCTCTCCGTTCGCTTCTATGTCACATCATACCCTCACTACAAGTCACTTTTCACCTTCCAGCGTATTGACCTCATACAATCTTACATTGGCAAATACAGTGTCGTCATTGTGCAAAATCTGTTTTTCAGCACAGAGAAATGAAGGGGGACTCTTGCTTTTCAAATCACACTAAAACGTTGCAAAGGATAATGCATTCATTAAAGCTTGTCTCTGTCGTTCCCCTGTTCTTTCATTCTTCTTTCTTCTCATGTCATGTCATCGGAGCAAGTTCTCACATGTACGGATTGGAGCCTATTTTTGTTATCTCGTCTAAATCCCCAAATGCCTTTGCAAGTGTAATTTGTATCTGAAGTTTGATCGAGTGATACGACCCTAGTCTCATACCCAGACCTTCCACGGCCAAGCGGTTGTACATTTCAGTTACAGTTACACGGTAGGATCTGGGTACGAGACTAATACGACCAGGCTATCTATAAAGATTTGGTCATGATTGCAAACATTCTTACCAATAGATAAAGGAAAGCTTGCCACTTTTTCTTTTTTTATTAAATGCTACAAAAGAAAAAAAACACAAAAAAAGCCAATCTTCCATAATCTTTTCAGTAATGTTACACGTATGCTCGTCAATGGTCCCTTTTTTTTTGTTCCTTAAAAAAGCCCTTTTACTCTCTCCTCCATCTCTTCTGGCCATGTGTTTTTCATCAGAGTGCTTCCTTCTCTTTCCCTCTCTCTCTTTCTCTCCCTAGCGGAAAATCTACACTATCATAAAAATTTACCGGGTGGTTGTGAGAAATACCAGTCGTAAATAAGCCATACTGAATTAAATCTCAACTCTGGAAACCTCGCGATGCAAATTTTCATCAACCTCGTTCTCAGGTTATCTTTCTTCAGTTAAACTAAAGTTCATTGCACATGTAAATTTTTCAGCTCATTTACATTTTACGGTTCCTCGTGTTATGAATTGCTTCGCTTCTCAGGAAATTTAACGTCCAAATGCCGGAGCTAAAAGGATCAAGGAGTCCCTTTGCTTGTTCTTGCAAACCATACATGGACTGATAACTCACGACAAAGATTGTTTTCAAGTTACAACGAAACACAAGGTAAGAAAAAGAGTTAGTTCAACTTAAAAGTTTTTGTAAAGCGTGTTGTATGAGGTTGAGAATGAACGATGGTAGAATTCTAGATTACTTCTCCAAACGCAGTACCGTTTGCAATTTCAAAGGAAAAATTTATCAGTTAATTGTATCAGTCCAGCCAAGCTGAGAAGAGTTTTAGAGTAAGACATTTATTTCGCCTGACGGTACACTCAAACCGATTTGAACTTTTCGAAGTAGAACAAGATCAATTCTTGATCACTAAACTTTGAGATTTTTACAGTTGTAACGCAGAAAACATCAATATTGCCAATTCTCTGTACTGTTCTCTGATTAGAAAGGACACTTTGCATGATAATCAAAAGCTCCTTGACTCAACGATCATTTCCCTTATTCTCATGACCTTACTATTTGTTTCACCTTAAGGGGTGATACTGTCGGGAGAAATTTGAGGGTTATCGAAAGATGAACCGCTCAAGTTCTTAAACCAGTGTGATGTAATTCATGGAGCCACGAGAATTTAAACTGTTGTTTTCGTCCCTTTTGCAGATACTCTATCCTAAAGATAAATGTATATGAAGTGTATTAAGGGACAGAAAGGGAATGAAAGCAAAGACTTGTGTCAAGGTAAGAGACAACTTCCATGTTTCTTAAAACAGGCTCATAATGTGTATATGTGTCACAAGAAGATGGAATAATATACGCTCGATATCCATGTTGATTAAACATGCAAGAATATCTTGTCAAGCGACGGGTTTGCTTGTGTGGACTTGTTGAAATATTGGAAAGTAGTTAAGAAAGATTTTTCTGATGCTAGACGATGTAATGTATTCAAAAGGCATGATGGGAAAGATTTTCGCATAACCCCATAAAACTTATGATTGTTCGAGCTTATGAACTGTTGTTAGGTAAAAGAAGGGGCAAGAATTGTATTGCACACAGCCCCATACTTCATTATACAAACAGCTCTTGGATGAAGAAAGTAAAAGCGAAAACAGTAGGTTGCCTTTGGGATTACAGCGGGTTATAAGGAAATCTTTCCAAAATAGAAAATCATAAATAGAAATATTTCAGCATTTTGCAGCTTTCGCGACAACTCTTGGAATATTTTCTAAAACTTTTCAAATTCAAATAGTAGTTCATTCATTCCTTCCTTCGTGGAAGAAAACAATAGATGACGAATTTTTAATTTTCACCTGGTGAAATTTCGTCACTAAACTACGCTACCGCAAAAAAATGATCGGAATGTTAACAAATCTTTTGGCGCGCTATTGAAAAATATACAAAAATTCAGTTGTATTTCTCTAAGACGTTCACCTTTTCCCAGAAAAAATTGAAGTAATCTTCATTGTCATGTCTCTAAAGATAAAGTATCTGGAGGGAAATTTTACAAGTTGCCGTTACAAATTTTCGGGTTTCTTCGCGAAATTGTTGCAAAGGGGAAGGCATGTCGTTGCAAAAGCTCGACTCGTTGTAATGCACGCTTAATTCGCACATTTTTCGATTGTGGTTAAGATTGATTTCGAGCAGGCAAGTGGTCAGCTTCCAAATCTTAAAACGCGTTGGTTTTATTAAATAAAATTTGCATTCTCTCTCGTACTAATTTACGTCGACGAGAAACGATGTAATGCAGAATTCAGTAGATTTCAAGTTTTCACATCTCAGATTCATAGGGCCGGTTATTTAAACAAAGTGGAAGGACATTCATTCGATTAAATCAACCCTCTTAGAGAAAATTCCTGAAGCCCACTGCTTGCGTAAAACCACGGCCCATAATGTTTTCAAAGTAATCGCAATGTTTTGGCTATTGCTCTGCAACATTTTCTATATCTACGCAAATATAAATACATTGTCATAAAATTTTGTGAACATACTCTCAGAGAACATTATGCAGGTAACGTTTGTATCTTGGCTAACCTTTGAACTCTCAAAACTAAATTTGAAGGAAGATGTGCAAATCAATTAGGAGAATAAGTGCATCGATCTTGAGCTGATCGGCTGAAATTAAAAGAATCGTCTGCATTTGCTGTAACCAAAATTATGGTAACACGCAGAAGATTTCAGGCCTTGGACATGTCGCGCGGTATGAAAACACTTTTTTGAAGAAGACCATCAACATTTCCATGAGTGACCGAGACAAAATTTATCCAAACAAAACTAATACAATGTCAAGCAGACAAGTGATGAGAAAAAAAATCAATTGGGGATTATTAGTCGATCCAGTTCCGAATTCCCAAAGCTAACTTCATAAGAATTTTATGGCAGACAGTGAGGAGAATTGCTACTAAGACATTGGGGGTGAAAGAGTTGATTCTGAACAATAATTTATACAGGCATAGAGAAATCATATTTAACACCTTTATTCTGTAATAGGGTCAGTTTCGTCCATAGTTTAACAAGTTTAATAATAAATTAATAAAGTAAATAATAATAAGTCCAATAAGATGTTGGGAGCAAAAGGGTTCACTTTGGACAAGAATTTATACAGGCAAAGAGAAGTCATGTTTAACACCTTTATTATGTTATTAGGGTTAGTTTCGTTCATATCTAACAAGTTTAATAATAAATTAATAAATATTATATATTTATTTTGTAAATAAGGTTAGTTTAGTCCATAGTTTAACAAGTTTGTTTACGTTACCTTACAGTTCCTTCAACATCTCTTATTGAATTCGACCACAAGTAAGGAGAGACAGAAAAAGATCGAAACGTTTAACAAGAAGGACATGTCGGAGGGAGGAACGACAGTTCGAAATTAATTTTTAAGGTAAAATCTGTAACTAAGCAAAGCCAACTTCGTGCCAGGAGAAATATGACGATTGCTGCTAAACAAATTCAGAAGTTTGCTGCCAAAGCAAACGAGAAAGGCGCTATTCAAACTCGAATTTTGCTGGGAAATAGATGTTTAGTATCGAGAAAGATTTAGTTTTTTCATTCAGAAATGACAGAAATTTGGATCTTAGAGGATGAAATTTTCTGTAAAAAGTTAATTTCATGTCGTGTTGAAAATTTCTCTTAAAATTATTCAAAACAGAGTTGTAGTATCTCATATCAGTCGATGAATTAATCAGACTTATCACACTGCTTATCTAGTGATATTTATTTTCTCACCTAGTCTTTTTGTTAGAATCTTTCATTTAAAAATTTTCCAAGATTTTCAGTTATTTTGGCGCTTTGTAGACTTTGTTATTTTGACTTAGTTTCATTTGTAATGCAATTTATACTTATCAATTGCTGTAAAACTTTCACTTATTAATAAAGAGTTGTATCAAATAATAATAAAAAAAAACTTAAAAATAAGAGTTGTATCTTCACTTTATTGTACAAATGATAAAAAAATAATTGCGCTTTTAAAAGGGCCTGGTAACAAGTCAAAATATAGGCTATCTCTTTTACTTTTTTTTGCGTATGGAGGGTTGCCGAGAGGAAAAAAATTTCTGCGGATTTGAACAGCGTCTAACATAAAAACAAAAAAAATATACAGAACTTTCAATTGGAGAAAATCAATCGCTCAAAGCAAGATTTTTTCCCGCCAAAAGACTTAGTATATTTTTTTATCAACATCAGACACCATTCAAAAGCGCAGACCTTTTCCTCCATGAACAAATTTCCCGCCCAAAGACTTAGCTTTTTTTCGGAAATTGCAGTAGGCCCTTTTGAAAGCGCAATTGTCTATTTATTCAACGATATTAATGCAAACATCGCTCTACAGTTGTAGATTTAATTTCTTTCGATAACTGGTAAATCCAAGGAGAAGGTTTGAGAAACTTTATTTCTATCAATAAATTTCTTGAATCTTCTTGCATCACCACCACGTTCAAATCTGAAAGAAAAAGAAATGACACTTTTTGGAGTATACCTTTCAATAGAAAGATCGCTTAGAGTTTTGTGTAAGAAATTCAGTCTCTACTTGCGTTGGCATCCAGCTGTATCATTTATGAACTCCTTGCTAGAATTGCTACGGCTCTTGTTACGATAAATAAAATCTTGACAAACGGAGGAATACGGAGTATTGCGTTTAAATCGAGAGAAACCCCATTATTTTCTCTCGGTTTAAATTTAGCACGAAGCGAGTAAGTAGTTTCAAAGCAAGTTGCCCTGAAATAAAAAAAGGTTCTGTGAATGGTCAAGCTTTGTTGAATTTAAAAAAATACACAAAGTTTGCAGCTTACGTGAAAATATTCATCAACGATAAGCCATTAAACGCTTAACATTTCTGTTGCTCTTTTTTTAATTTTCCTTTTCCACTCGGGTTCAAAGAAGCGATAAAACATTAATTAAATTCTAAAACATGGTAGTGAAGTAAATGCGACAATATTTATGATCGGTTACTTTGACGAGCTATGTTTATAACATCTTCAAAAAAAAATTATCTAATCTCTTTCCAATTGCAGAATATTTCAAGGTGACTGCTGAATGAACTGATCATATATTTTCGTGTTTTACATTCTGCGTCAAGTTTAAGCCGTGTTGATGAATAATTGTAATTTTATTTGAGTGGTTACACTTAAAGTGACTGTTCAATACAAGTGAAAGACAATACATAAAGGCTGTTGGGACTCAGTTAAGGGTGACTGTGACCGCTCAATAGAGGTAAAAATCACAATACTTAAGAGGAAAAAAGTTCGGGTTTTGACAACTGACCGCTTAAAACAGGGTGAGCGCTCAACACGGTACAGCTTAATACGGGTTTGACTGTGCGTGGCTTTGATAATTGAATTCAGCAACGTTCGCTGCATGATCACTCAGAGAATCTTTTAATAATAAAATTGTGCATGGGTAGGGCCCTTGAAAGCAATTTTCCCCACGGGGGCGGGAATTTGAACGAACCAATCTTCAAAAGTTTAAATGTCTGATGTGGGGAGGGGGGGAAAAGTTTGAATGCCAGGGGTGGGGAGGGGGGAAAAAGTTCAAAGTTCAAGCTACGAATTGATCGACACATTACGTATTGCCTTGTAACAAGTGTCTTAATAAGAGATCAGTTTTATAGCTTGAGCTTAAAGCAATTTTTCTAAGGTTATCACAATAAGCGACAGATTGGAACTAACTTAGAATCAAGAGATTATAAGCCAGTTTATATCATCTTGCTTAAATGTTCAGATTTACCCAGGTAACCGATAAGCAACGACAACCATCGGTCAGATAGAGATGAACGTTTGACGGGATTAAGCTGAAGTTCGGCAGCGATTCACTTTGAAGTAAACCTCAATGATTAGTGTCGCGCTGTCTTAGTTTGCTTTTTATAGTGGACGAAATAAAGAGCTGAGCTCACAAATTGTACACAAACTTATATCGAAAGAATGGGACTATGTAACTTACTTGAATTCGAAGAAGAGCAGTAGACTTCGTTCGCTTTACGCCTCGACTCAGTTGGCTTGCCGTTGCTAATCGTAGCTCACGTTCGAGGAACATTACTTACCGAAATCTAACTTTCAAGGTAGCAGCGATATAACATAACTGTTAGACGTTCTGAGCGTTTGGGACATGTTACACAACGATTTTCTGACCAAAACTTTAACCTAACGGGAGTAACTGTTAACTAAGCAACCAAGCAAAGTTCTGAGCTGCACGTGTGAAGATGCTGACTCAACGGAAATGAATATCGCATGAGTGAAAAGTTATTTGAAATTCAAATCAGACATTCCGTGTGCCTTGCAATCAGCATTCAAATTTTCATTCTAGGAGGGAGGGGAAAAGCGGGATTTTGTTTAGCAAAATAAATTTTGTTTTGTTTGGTAAGTTTATAAAAGAAATTTTATTCAGAGTCAGTGATTCTATTGTAAAAGATAAAAAAACTGTCTGAACGCGTGTCAAATGTGAAAGCAGCAATGAACGAGTTCGCTGAGTGTCTTAGGTTGTTCCAGGCGTGCAGTAAGAAAAACGAAGCCCACCAGTAAGCGGCGCGATAACCTGAGGAGTAAAAAGACGAGGGAAGTTTGGGTCGGGTCAAAACTCCCCTTGAATAACCCTTCGCTACTATTGTGTCGCTCAACGTTTACTATTTCGCTCTGTTTCACTAACTGTAGGCCTCGAACAAGCTGATATTTTCTGTCTTGCTATGGCTCAGTGGTAGTGCGTCTGAGCGCGGAATTCGAAGGACTGAGGTTTGATTCCCTATTGGCGCTCATCCCACGCTCGCAACAGGACAGGAAACCATCTTTCTTTACAACTCAAATACATCAATTACCAGCGGTTTTAATCCTCTTTCCCTCCCAACATGGCTCCAGTTGCTGGCTCAAACTTCGAACTTGACTTCTGGCGCAATAATTTAGGCGGAAGAACGAAAAAAAAAAAGGAACCAAGCCAGCAGTAACTCGTTCCTGTGCTATTCTGTTCAGTAACACCCCCATAATAGCGGTATTGGGAGTTTCTCGGTTTCTGCTCGCCAACACAATCCAATTATATTACTGAGTGAATTATATTCCCTTTACTGGATTTCACAAGGTTTCCTCAAAACTCATAAGCACGCGTTCTTCGAAGATCACAATAAAACCATTCACCTATTATGTTAACCTACTCCTATTGGTTGAACGTCATCGTCTTTTTTCCGATCTAAGTCTCCGTTTAAACGGTCATGATGGTTAGCCCTTGAACTCCCATGAGTGACCAAGACAGAATTTCTCCTTACAATGTCAATACAATATCAACCAGATGAGTGATGAGAATAAAGAAAAATATCAATTTGGGGATAATTAGTTGATCCAATACCAAATTCTCTGAATTAACATGGTAAGAATTGTATGGTTGACATTAAGGAGAATTAAAAATTTGATTTGGCAGTTAAAGGATTAAGATAGATTAAAAGATCACCCACGTTTGAACACGAACTGTCATGAACTATCATGTAGTTTTGACATGTTCAAATTCGACATGATTGTTGATGGTAGTTTTGGCCGTTTTAACGAGCTGATGAAAGTGAAATCATAGTTTTTCGGTCAGCAGTTTTGTCAAAAACGGGCTCAAACCGAAATGGCAATGTCTAAAATGGCCAAAATAGCCGTCAAAACTTTGCAGAATGTCTCGTCATTCTTATAATCTTTTGGTAGGCTTCAGTATCTTCAACTCGCAATTCTTGACTAAATTTTCAAATGCCACCGATATTGCTAACCTCAGCGCCCGCCACATTCGTTTATAGTTACGCGATCTCATCCCGTTATTTTGTCAACTGTCATGAACCGTTAAAACACAAACATAAAAGTCAATAATTCTGAATGGAAGTTGAAACTATCATCGATCACCATCAATTATTGTGACCGTCACTCCGCGCTATCATCCTACAGTCGCTTCCACTCAACAATTAGTAATCAAATTATCAAGTCAATACATGAACACCGCTGGACACTTGGATTCACTAACGATGTGACATCGCACTTATGAACTAAAGCTGGACTGTAACAATTTCCTTATACCAATTATCAGTCCCATACCCCCCTCCCCCCCGTCACGTATATAGACGTCCTACATATTTCATGCTCGCTCTAGAGAAATGTCGCTGCAATGTAAAGAATCGGAAAATTGGGAAATAAATTATTACATTAATCAGCAAAGAGACAAACAAAGATACAATTGACACTTTTAACGGTGAATTATAAATATTTAATTAATCTCTGCTTCTTTCCAGTGTTAAATTATTGCAGGATAACCCGAACAGCCCTGAACTTAGGCGAACTATATCAATCTCGTAAATAAATCTTACAACTTCCAAATCATTAAAATTCTCATTCTTTTCAAATTACAAATATTTCAATTCTGAACTGACAGAGAGTTCAACACAAATAATTATACCTCATATAATTTCCCTTCTGTCTGCTCAAATATACCTGAAATTATATCATAATGACATGATGTGAAAGGTAAATCACAATTTACTTGCGGTGCGTAATATAATAAATGGAAGTTACTCCCTATTACAAAGCTCTCTCTAGATATATCACGACAAGCTTACGACGAAAAAATGATTGTGGTTATAAATGTGAATGTAAATGTGAATTATTTTTATGAAAATACGTGAAAAGACAATTTGCATTTTACCCGTAACTTAGATTAAGTTTTTGTGGTCCAAAAATGCCTAATTTCGAAACATTGTCATGTTCGCAAAAAGTATTAAATTCAATATTTAACTAAGTCCTCTTTTTCTATTTAAAATAGAACTTTCAAACTTAATATTTTAAGTGATATAACGTTTTTGTGTAGATGTGAAGCCGAATTTACTGTTTGAGTGACTGATACATAAGAACGCTTTTCATTTGAGTGTCGTAAACCAAATATCATATCAGCCAATCAGAGGGAAGGAAAATACTTTAAGAGCCAATGAGAACTCAAAGTATAAACAACCAAACTGGTTATTGCGCGAGAAAACGCGGGCGACCAAAACATGATTGGTTTAAGTTTTGCATCTGATTGGTTAAGAAAGTGGCGCAAGTTTTTTTTGACCAATCACAGGGAAAATAAGAAATCAATACCAATGCAATACCTGATTATTTTCGACACTAAATTCAAAATTCTCCGTCGAACTTGGCGATTGCCTATGTTAAATAGTTTACGACAGTGACTAAGCGACAAAAAAAAATTTGGAAATGTTTGGTTTTATGTTAATTTAAAAGTTAAGACTGTGCGACCTTTGCTAATGTTACTGTTTACAAGAACACCTCGACAATTTTTAACAACAACAACAACAAAAAAATCTTTCTTAACAACAATTTTTTAGTCTTAAAGATCAAATGTTCTTGGCGGAATTTGTATGTTGCCTACTCTTCATTCTAAACTTGATAAATTATCAGGACATCAGCAAAGATCGCTTTACAAGGGCAGAACGGAGAAAGAATAGCTTAAAAGAAACCAGAACGCCTCACGATTGAGTGCCAAGAGACCAAGAGCATAAAAATCACGACAGCCAATCAGAACAGAGGTAATTATCACAACGCGCCCATGAAATCTTAAAATAAATGCACTTGAAGTCTTAAGCGCGGGAACACACGAGATACAAGGTCGCGATTGGTTTTAGTTTTGAAGCTGATTGGTTGAGAAAGTGGCGCGAGGTTTTTACGCCAATCACAGTAAAGGGTCAGGAAAACAAATTCTGGGATGTTTTAGACACTCAATTGAAAAGTGCCCCTTCTCACACAAACCTCTTATTCCTCAGAGAAAGTAAAATTTACTTCGACTTTAGAAATGGCAGTCGGGCGAATTTACTATTGACCATTCACTAGGGGAAATATCTGGACAATTCAACACTCCCCTACTCCGCATCTTTGAATTTGCTTCCTTTTCTTTTCCAAAACCATAGTGGTGACTTCTTGTCTTTCATCTTTCCAGCTACGTCACCTTGCGTAACTAACGATGAATGATCGACATTGTTCGTTTGGCAATCTCTGTGAGAAGCCGAGCGTCTCGATTTCGGTTCCGAACTCGAGTCGTGAAAGTATGGTGTTGAATCGCATCTCGGTCTGTCCAACTTAACGCACAGTTTGGACAAAGTTGTGTCGGTCTTGGTGGGATTCTGTACATTCGGAGGCGACCGAGCGGCCTCGGCCGTCTTCGGAGGCACCGGTTGACTTAATGGCGAAGTTACAGAAAGAGCACTTTCCCAGCAGGGACTGCGAGGGGAGATTTCTCCGTCTACCGAATCTACTTGAGATCCCAATTCGCACGAGTTATCTTGTTCTGAGCCCCTCCTTCGAAGACACCTCCTCGCATCTGAATTTGGGATGCTCGCTTGCTCAAGATTAGGGACATTTTCGTCATCAGAGGTAATCACATTGAAGCTTTTTAACTGAGAAGCAGATCGACTTTTGAAGCTCTCTTTGCTTTTTTTCTGTTTCGACGGATCGTAGTGAGTCTGGACACGAAGGACCCGATGAAAGAAACTCTTCAATTTACCCGGAGTGTTTTTCAACAAATCATCGGTAGCCGTGTTGAACAGTTTATATCGGCCGGCGATCCACGAGTGTCGGCGTTTCTCGTTTGACCGAATCGTCACCGGAGATGTTTCGTCGGTGCTCACGATGATGGCCGGAGGTGATGATTCCGGCGAGGTTGCACAGTCTGCCACAGCCGCAGTTCCATTTTCACGTTGTATTTCTTTAAAAGGTGGACATATTTCCTCCGTTGATGGGGTTGTTTCCGGAGGATTCACATTGATCGCTTCGTCAAATTCGGGTCGACGACGGTATTCACCAAGAATGAATTCTAGGTGTTTAGTTGTTTCTTCGAATGTCGGCCTGGCTGTGGGGCTCATCTGAGAAGAACACCAAAAACAAAAATCGGTTAACGTATTAATTAGGATGAGAACAAAGAGGTTTCTATAAACAATACACAACAGTTTTATTCTTTATTTCTAGCTGCTACACATTCCCTTGTAACTAATTTACAAGAATTTGGTGTTGGATCAAGAGAACGACTTCCACATGATAAGTTTGAGTATTCTTATTACCTTGTCGCCAGATAATGTATGGATATTATAGAGAGAAATTACATGTTCATCACTTCTGGAAGTTAAGGGTTAAGTTAAGTATTTGAAAAGGACTAAAACGGTAAAAACGAACGATAACATCTGACGTTTCGGAGTGGTCATGTCTAATCCGAAACGTTGGATTTTATCGTTCGTTTTTACCGTTTTCTGTTAATTGCTGATACGAAGCATGTAAAAAAAAGTTCCAACCTCACATATTTACAAAGAATTGCCCGCAGCTTTAGAGGAAAAAAAATACACCTTACAAATCCTGCAACTTTTAGGTCCAATTATTGAAGCAAAGTTTAGCCGTACAAAAGCGCGTTCGAATTCTAAAGTACTTTTATCTGAACATTCATTTTTGAAAACGGTGTCAAGAGAACCGGAAGCTCACAGTGGAAGAACATTCATTCAATTAAATCAAACCTCTTGAAGAGAATCCCAGAGGTCCACTGATTGCCTAAAATCACGGTTTAGATTGAATAACTGTCCCAAGTGTTAATCAAATACCAGGAGAAACATAAGTGCAGTTGTAAAATAGTTTCTTTCAAAGAAATTTTACCTGGCAACAACAGAGTGCAGTCTGAAGAAACTCATGAGGACAGTCTCCTGTCATCAACTGGAACTTCTCCACATCCAGACCAAATGACTAAACAAAAACAATAATACAAACAACAGAAATGACTTCAAGAGGAAAGGGTAAACTTAAAAAAGTAGATACGTATTCAACACTGAAATATCTTTCAATTTGCGCTACTTACTGTTCCAGAGTGAAAACACAAAACCTGTGCCCTCTACTCAACCAGTAACGTGTTTCACTCTATCCTACTTATCATTATAAATACTGAAAAGTGTTGATGTTTTCATTTCCTCAGTAATTGCTTCAAAGGCAAGCTGAGATTTGTTTTTGTTAAAAATACACAACATCCTCTTGATACCATTGTTAAGAATAAAGTGTATTTAAAAACAGACATTTCTTGTGATAGATCTTCAACAACAAAGCCATTTCTGTTGACAAACACTACACAAAGCAAATTATTTAGCCAGGACCCACATCTCATAAGCTGCCTTCACATTACTGCCATAGACCGAAATAAAAAAATTCCTCACATCTTGAAAATAATTTTGAATATAGCAAAAAATAACCCCAAAAAGTTTCCTTCCCTCGAGGCTGTGGAGTTTGGTATTGGCAAACTGTAAAACACCCTAATGCATGTCTTTTCTTGTTTTCTATTTCTCTCTTTAGGAATAGATGAAAAGTTTGACTTGGGATTTGCACTACTTATCAGAAAATCCACAATTTTTTAACAAAGTTTTCTGCTTTTACATTTTCAAGAAGAAATTAGAGGCCACACTTACATGTGTTCGAGGCAGCTCATCAGGATCAGCTTGTACCCGTCCAATTATTTCACATAAAATAATTCCATAAGAAAACACATCAGCCTGGAAAAGATATATAAAAAAATATATTACCAGTGACATTGAACATGGGCATTCTCTTGCAAATTGATTCAATAGCAAGGCAAAGACCAGAAACATTTCCAAAGACTCAGACCCACAACAGCAAAATCTTCTGATGTACCAAGACTTTTCCCTTAACCCTTTAACTCCCATAAGAGATCAAGACATAAATTCTCCTCACAATATCAATACAATATTGAGCAGACAGGTGATGAGAAGAAAGAAAAATATCAATTATGGGATTATTACTTGAGCCAATACCAAATTCTCTGAACTAACATCATAAGAATTGTATGGCAGATAGTAAGGAGAATTACCAATGAGATCATGGGAGTGAGAGGGTTCAGACTGAATGCTATAAGAATGGGGGGGGGGGATGGGAGCGGGGCTGAATGAGATCTAATTTGTAAAGGGAAGAAGTAACCTCACACAAGGTTAATAATCCAGATGTACACTATTGCATCACACAGTTCAACCCCTGCAGGGTATTGCTTGAACATCACCTGAAGAACCTACATTACGTAACAGCCTGTTCAATTTTGTATAGTTTAGGCAAGAAGACTTCTGAATAATAACTACCTAAATTTAGAGAAGGTTTGTTTCCAGTCAACCCTGATAATCTAAAAAATTATACCGAAAGATGACACACTGGTGCACAAAGCCCTTATATCAATTGTCAATTCTTGACTCTTCTTTTAAAAGCAGTGGGCATTCTTACATTCAATGCAAAAACTTTGCAGGATTCATGTTGAGTTTTTCATAATATGGCAAGAATTTTTAATTTAACCTTTGTTTTGGGGGCATGCAGGAGAGATGCTGGCTCAACCACCCAGAATGTCTTAAAATTACATGAAGTTTTTATTTCTAATCAAGTTAAACACTAGAATTGCACAAGTCACATAAATTGAGACCTAGAAACCTATCCACTTTACTGATGGTTCAAGCAGTTGGACATGTTTCATGACAATGAAAGTTTTAGTAAGTTTAAAACATAGACTTGCAAGAACTGCTGACAATCATGGCAAAATCCTACAAAAGTGCTGATTTCTGCACTTCTATTCAATACACATCAAACAAACTTCAGAGCACTAATTTTCAAACCAGCTGGTATAAGATTAAGTCTCACAGTTAGCACCTTATAGTCTGAATATCTAAAAGCTCATTGGCTAGAATTTAATCAATAACTTCCCTATCACCTGCCCCTTGCCTACCTTGTCATCGTAACATTCACCACGTAAAAGTTCTGGAGCCATGTTAAAAGGAGATCCAACAATTGACTGTTCCCTGCAAATATAAAATATAGTCAAACATAAAAATTTATCCAAAAACCTTCATGCAAAGCTGAACATTTCTAAACAAAAGGGATCTATAATCAAGAACATACTTAGTACATGTAAAATTTTAAGTAGAAGAATACAGGGGAACTTTAAGTAACACCTGCCAAGGGGAAACTTTACTTTGAAAACATTCAAGGTGAAATTTCTGATAAAGTGACAATAATCCTATTTCCATATTCTACTAGGCAGACTCTATAGTGTTACAAAGCAATATACATGCTCCACAACCACTCTTAAAACCATTTCTTGCAGATTTAAATATCATTTCTACCAAAAGATTTGTTATCATTTGAACTCTGAGCCAATGTTATCTCAATGTTTGTTGTGTGCGATGCAAACAAACAAAAATAGCCCATTTTTTGAAAAGAAATAAAAACACATGCAAATTTTTCACACCAGAGTATGCTTCAGACAGGTACTTTGATTCCTAAACATATGTAATGAGAAACTAAAAATTAGTGAAATAATCAATTTTTTGCACAGTTTTGAAATGTTGTTTAATCATGACTGCTACCTTAATTTTACCAAAATATAGGTCATTAGTTTCAACATTATTCAGCACTGTTGTCCTTCAAAAGTTTTGCTGTAATTAGAAAGTTGATATGGTATTTCCTCAAGTTAAGAGATTCTGATATTCAATTTTCATACCCCAAATATGCTCTTGTATTAGCACAGAAAAAGCATTTCATTGTGAAGCAACCTGTTCTGTTGAAACAGGTCTGAGTAAAACAATAGATTATAAAGGTTAAATTAAAAAAAAAAAGGTGAAAGAAACTGTGGTAGCTCACATTTCACCAACAATAAATATTCAAACTGGCCCTGAAAATTATTGCTAGCAGCTATAAATAGAGCAGTATTGGAAGGCAATATTTTTAGAAACATGGGCACTATCTTTATTCCATGAGTATACAGGGACCAAAGATGATTTTTTTTTTTTTAACATAAAACATGCGAAATCGTTAGAGTTTGAATTCTAAATTTTCATTTGATCTCTTTCGGTTTTGGTTGCATAAGTAATGACAATATATTTCACGCCGTCAATCGCCGATCTCATTCAGTAATTCTGAATTCCGCTTCAGAGGCAAACTCGGACAAAGTTATTTGATCTGCGGTTAAATTTTCGTTTTTAATCTAAATAATAACTTTGAAATTCATTTCACCCGACGACTGTACGGTTTAAATGGTTGTTTCCTCAAGGAAATAAACACTTAAAGTTGCTATTCTTTCTTTATTTGGATGTCTTACAACGAGTCGAATATTTGACAAGAAATAGTCCTTTTTAGGCAAACACGCGTATTTCAAAAACAAGACGAGGAATCAATTATCTAAAAGCTTACTTGATGTCAGTAGCTAATCCCAAATCTGCAACGATAGCATATCTCCATCCGTTTCTCTCTTTTATCAAGCAATTCTGAAACAGAGCAACAAAATTGCAGATCAAACCGAGAAAAAATAGACGTTCATGATATTATTTGTTAAATTCCAAAACAGTCTATAGTTCGTCCAAGATCAGCGATCGAAACTACATTTACATCGAGGTAAAATTGCACTTGCCTTTGATGTTAAATCCCTGTGTATAACGCCATTTTTGTGGAGGTACCTCATTCCTTCAGCGATATCTCTTGCAAGGTATAGTCTCGTCCACCATTCAAGATGAATTGAATGTTTTAATAAAAGTCCTTCGAGGTCACCTCCATTAACAAACTGGAAGAAAATCGTAACCTTAAATAAGTATATTATTACCATGAGAAAATCGTACACAGCAAGTACAATTCCAACTGAAGCGTGCTCCTGAACAAATACTTCCAGGAAAATTAAGTCGGTTCATTTAGTGGTTGAAAAAAACTCGACGAAAAGTTATGAATAATTATAATTACCTCGCAAAGAAGGTGCACTCTACTATCATCAACGCAAATTCCAAGAAATCTGTGAAAGAATTTAGAAGTGATTAGCTTAGCCAGGGTGAAATCGATGTTTACAACCGATCTCCATCGTGTCTGGACGAGAGGAAATTACCAGAAAAATCGGACCAAATATTACCTGATAACATTCTCGTGAGAAAGATGACACATTAACTTGATTTCATCCAGCATCGTACAATCATCTTTTTCCACGTCAGGTTTGTTCATTTTCAAGACCATAACTTCCTCTGTTTCGCGGTGCCTTACCTGACAAACAAAAACAAGAATGAAAACAAGAAAGCGAAACTTTAGTCACGAACTTCAAGGAGTTTTAACACGCTCGAAAAATTAACAAACTAAGATAAAGAATTTATTCTACCTTGTACACATCTCCGTAAAATCCATCAGCGATTTTGGAGCATATAAAGTCATTGTATCGGTAGATGCAAGAGTTTGGAATTGACGAAGGTATATCTAACAAGCTTCGGTCGACTTTTTCGGACTCGTCTTTTATAATCCTACAATCGACGGAGTTGCTTTTCACCTCGCCATTCCAATTAGCAGAACCATCCATAGGAACAACCATAGGTGTAATTTCAATAAAACGTGAATATCAGCTTGGTTTTCCCGCCTGAAACAGCATATTAGAGCCGACTTTCACTACAGTTCGACCACACATGTTCCCGTAGTAGATCTGCGTAAACGTATTGTGTTACTCGGGCCTTGTAAACTTGACCCGCGGCCTCACGGGAAGGATCACGAATCCTAACTTTTGATTGGCTAATCGCTGCCGTGTTGAAACATACTCCTGTCAATCAAATGTTTTCGTTATTGTCACAGCTAAAAGGTTTGTTGAGCGTGAAACCACAAAGAATGCTAACATTATTAGCGTGATCACCGAGCTGTAAATGGTAAACAAATGCTTGTGGGAAAATACACAGTGTCTATCTTGTTGTTGTTTTATGGTTTCCTTTGCAGGCAACTCTTAGCTGATTTTTAAGCGCAATTTCTAATGCTACACGCTCTCATTGCAGATTTTATTCAGAACTTCTCTCTAATCACGCACTTAAATAAAGCTCTTGTTTTATGTATCACTGTCACGACTCGAAACTAAAATTTGCATACGTTTCTCGAACGAAAAGCTGGATAAGGAAATTACACGAAAAAGTTGTGCATAACAAAGGTTTAAACAATACAAAGAAAACTGAAACAGTGTCGAGGGTTTTTTCCTCAACTGAAAGGCGTATCTGCCGTATTCATTGTGTAAAACGAAAGACAGAGAAGACATCAAAATGAAAATAATTTCATTTAATTTCCTTCATTAGAGTTTGGTACGCCCACGTTGAAAGAGATCTCAATGTGACCTGGGAGAGATGGCGAGAGAAGGGGGGGGGGGTACCTTTATTCATTTTGGGGAATTGTGCAGCCCTTCGTCACCCTACCTATTGAAGAAATATGTTGATCTTTGCGATTCCACCTTGCGGAATCAAATCCAGCATATTTAGACAGGATTTTATGATCAGTTTACAGGCCACGCATCGTCGAAGTTTACACGCCCCCCCCTCCTCCACCCCCCCTCCCCCTACGTGCCTTGGTTGTATGGTGAGAACCCATCACTCAGCTAAGAGGTTAACACGTTTTCGTGACATACAAGAAGGCCCAGAATACGATATCGTTGGCATTCTCTCTCCTCTCACAAAGTGTAGGCTCATTGAAGTTGATGCGTATGCTCTACTCGACATAAACATCTGTGCACTCTTGCGCAATAACTGCATACACCTATTCAATTTCACACAATAAACCCGGACATTTCCAGTTGATTTAATGGACGTCTTTCAACGATTCATTCTCTCAAGTGCCATGTCACAACGCCTCCACAGCGAGTTTGAGTCATTGTTGTATGGAACAATTGGAAAGTTTTCAACACAGCTGCATTCGAGGTAGTCTTGGATAAAAGGAAAAGTAATTTGGGAATCATCCAAAACTATAGCATATTCGCTTGAGGTCCTCAGCCTGACAATTTTCTAACTTAAGTTAAACAGGAATAAAAAGCGTAATGATGTAATGATTCAAGACTGGTTCTGAATAAAATAACTTTATTTACATCAAGGCAAAGAAGACAAAAGAAGTTTTTCCAAAGTACAGAGTGTCTTTAAACCTGTGATTATTCTCAGTGGTTATACTACACAATACGTGATTGAGTGTTGTCCCTGGGAGTCCTTAATTGAAACATATTGATGATCAGAGCTTCCTCTGTGGTGCGATTGCTTAACCTACTTTACAGGGCTTTTCCTTTAAAAATTGGGAAAGGAAGTTCAATTTCTCTCTATTGAATCCCTTTGGCACTCTTCCGGTGACTTTTGATGTCGGCTCAGCTGCGTCGATTGCGAGAACGTCTTGTGACATTTTTCGCATTTAAACGGTTTCTCTCCCGTGTGCGTGCGAATATGATTGTTTAGTGTCGTTGCACCAGCGAATGAGCGACCACAGAATCCGCATTTAAATGGTTTCTCGTTTATGTGGACGACAACGTGTTCCCTCAGCTCAGCTGGGCCTGGGAACGATGAAGGGCAGTGCCCACACTGGTAGGGGCGATCTGGTGACTAAACGGGACAAAGAAGTCACAAGGTATCAGTCAGCCTTTATTTGTATGGTGATAAATGTTTCCATCTTTCTGCGAGCAAACGTCCTCCCCCCCCCCCCCCAAAAAAAGGAAAAATCTGCAACATCGTCACCTCACCAGAAAATTTGAGCTTTTCGGTGTATGTCATAATCATTTTCCGGATAAGGCAAACTCAGATATTTTTCCTGATAATAGAGATTTCGCGAACCAATAACCGCTCTAGGTTTAGCATAGTATTAAGAACAATATCACTGATACCTAACAGCTTACCTGTGGGCACACATGCATCTGAAGAAGCACCCTTTGTGAAAACGTCTGTGTACACTGACCGCACCTCCAAATATGGGGCTCTCCATGATCTTTCAGGCCCAATCCAAAAGGGTCCAGTGGCCTTTCGTGGTCATCAAACTCCTTTGGGAAAAAAAAGACGAAGCGTTGTCAAAGCACGTTTTTATATCAAAGCGAGGAATGAATACTTAAGAATAAGATTTCTTCCCTTAGCCGGCAGCCTTCAAATAATCTAGAAGGATTTACGCCTTTAAGGAAAGGGAAAAAAGTAGATTTTTCATGCATCTTATCTTTTATGCACCTGGTCACGTACATCTTCAAAAAATGGCTCCTCTTCCATTCCTGGAGGCTTCCACTGAACTGTGTGCTCTTAAATAGGAATAAAGGGTATGAAAGTTTTTAAGGATTGCATAAACGCCAACACTGATCGATAGGTTGTCCGGAACCTCAAGAAAATCTTTAGACTATGCCCTCAAACGAGAGATAACACATCTATCAAATAATTGAGAGATTACGAGCACCCTGATTGGTTAAAAACTTGTCGGTTATTGCACCGGTAAACCCATAGGAAATTAAAAAAATTGCAAGTATATTAATATTATGAAATAACTAAGGCACAGTGAGCTCGCTGATCGGTCAAAAATCTAACATTTATCGCATCGGTAACCCATAAAAGTTAATTAAATAAAAGCAATAGGCCGCACTTTCTAGCTGTCGGTTCACTACTTGGGATGTTGGGAGAACACTCGAAAGGTCTGTAAATCACTCGTCTCCGGCTTGTGATTTTTAAACTTTTCTCGCCTGAAAAATGCTTAAAAATGATTCATGTTCCGTATGCTCTTCTTACCCTTTGTAATCCTTGCTTTCATCAACGCTGGTACATCAATGAACTCGGAGTATTGTTCGTCGTACCACACCAGTAGTTCCCGCCCGGCCGGAATATGCCTGAATGCCCGGTAGTAAATATTCCCGCAGTACTGAAACACCGTCATATTCTGTTCTTCTCTATACCGCGCGCACTGAATGAACCTCATCCAACTGGACAAGTATTCTTCACTTCCATCGATAAAATGGCTGAACTTTCCGTCTTTGTAAATCTATCACATTAGTAGAAAAAAAGGTTTCCAACACAGAAACTCCAGGGTTTAGCAAGGGAGAGGTCTAACTCACGTCCTGGTAACCCTCTTTCCGTGTCATAGAAAAGGGATCTTTTAAAAAACAGAACTACCTGTCACACCCCCAAAGTTCACGTAAGACGCTGATAGAGGACCGTCCTACCGAAAAGACCTGTTCACATCATGACTCTTTCCCAGGTCTCTCTTCCTTCCGCTTACTGGTGGGAAAATAAGAGAGAGCTTGGGAACGGGATTGAGATGGATTTGTAACTTCACCTAAATGGGACGCTTGTCTATTCAAGGCAATTCCACAATTCTATTCGGGGACACAATTGCACTCCTAATAAAATTTTGCTAGTTTACTCAACAATTGAAAAGCCTCAATTTAAAATGCTGTGTGGGGAGAAACTCTGAGAGAGTTCAGTGACTTCAACGCGTAGAAAAATACCCAGAGTCTCCACATTTCATGTTCATCATTTTCCTTTTTTTCTGTCTCCCTCAAGCTCAGTCTGAGCTAATGCTGTTAAAGACAATAAACACCTCATCCTTATCTTAATTAAAACTGACTGACATCACGCCGAGAGGAGTTTTAACGGTTTGGCTAATCAATTGTCAACATATCGTCGTAAATAACAATAATAATAATAATAATAATAATAATAATAATAACAATAATAATAATAATAATAATAATAATAATAATAACAATAATAATAATAATAATAATAAAAAATTCCACATAGAACAAGGTGTCCTCATACCTCCCACATGTAAATATTATGCACCCCCTCTCGCAGTTCATCGCACCTAACAACCTGGCCTTCATAAGGACCGATCCAAGTTCCGGGGGGAATGGGCTGAGCTGCACACACTCCAAACTCCGCCCCAGGAACGCTTGACTTGCAGAGTTTCACTTCATCCGGGAACACCATGGATGGGCTTGGTAGAGAACATCGCTTTTTCTTACGTTCTAAGTAGAGGTAAAAAGATTCATTAGAACAAAAATTTTTTTTTGATAGTATTCAGTATTCCTGAAGGAATACTTCTCAAATTAGTACCTGGGCTGTTTTCCTCTCGCTTGATAATCTTCCGCTGATCTCCAGGGATTGCAGTCTCCACAGCCGTATGTCCATACAAATACATACAAATCTCCTCCCAGGTGAATGGCGGCCTCTGGGATCTAGGCCCTTGTGGTTTACGTTCATTTGGATGCTGAACTTTACTCATGGCTTCTCTGGAAAAATAAAAAAAGCGAAGTGAGAACTTTTTTCGGCAGTCAAAACTCGAAAAGGTTCTCGTTTCTCGTTACCCTAATCTTGAATAAAAGACTCGTTGAGGTATTTCAGTGCCTTGTCAATCTGATTTTCTCTGTTCCGTAATGCATCGAATTCCTACACATTTCTTTGCAAGTTAGCTTGGTCCAGAAGAAAAACATAAAATAAAAGACGCAAGGAGCAACTTTTAATCCTTTGTACCCTAACATTGGCATTTATATTTTCCACATTGTTCTCTCAACAATTCCCATGGTGTTGACAAGCAAAAGTAGACAAACGAGTGTCTGAGAATCAGTAATGTCGAAAAATTGGGGGGGTAAAAATCTACCCGAATTTCGAACAGGTTTTATTCAAAATCATGTTGATGTCTTGGTTCTTAATTACGTTGAATCTATTCACTGTTGATGTTTCATCTACTATTGGGGCATGATTGAAAAGTGAAAAATAAGAAAGCTGGGTATTTGTGTGAATGAATGCAATTTCCAACAATATCCTCGAGAACTGTTGGACTGTCCTAAGTTGCTGTTCAATTTGAAGACATCAAATTTGTCTTCCCACGGAGTAATGTAAAACAATGAAACATTTTGAGTTTCATCTTCTATCTTTGTTTACTTATGGGTTTTGCTGTTATAGTTATGGAATTTACCTTAATTTTCACCTGAACAGTTACCCCAGTAAGACAGTCTAAGTTTTACACTGGAAGGTTTTGCTTAGCCACCGAAACTATGAAGTCAGCGATTTGCCCATCGCAAACAAAGCGCGCCAGATGATTCCAAGGGTAGCCAGCAGAATTAACTAACAAATTGCTTAATACTCTGTCATGAATACAATTTTCTTGGTTTTAGGGGATGTTTACGATTTCTTGGGGTTTGTTTCCAACACTTAGCAGGCAATCTGGTAAATAATTCAGGGAAGGGATACTTTTTACCACACGGTTTGTGAAGGAATATATATTGTCCAAAACTTGAGTTTTAATTTATAGGTATTTGTGCAAAATAATTGATAAACAACCAAGAGTAAAACACCTTCAAATTTGGCTTGAGACCTTCTTGAAAAAAGGTTTAACAATTAAAATCACACGCACCTGTTTGGATCAAAGCAAACATACCTACTTTCCTTTGTTTCTTTAGAGCTTAAAGTTGTTAACAAACGAAGCCTTCGTAAACGTTTGGAGTATTTACATCATGGTTGTGTCAAAATGGTTGGAGATTTAGTGTAAAAGGAATTTCTTTTCGCAAAAAAGTTGTGAATTGGCTACGCTCTTGTAATAATTGTTTGTTTTATTTCTGCTGAAGTATCAACAAAAGTTCTCGCTATTGCGACATACATATCGAAAAACTATTTCTCAAGTCCTAACAAATCATACAATCAAGAACACTTATCACCTTGGTGGAATTCGTGCCTTAAGTTATCCCCAAAAGTCTTCCTTGTGCATATTTGAATGATAGCAAGTAAAGCTGTCATAAAATCTACACTTTTTGACAGGAATGTTTAATTTGTTAAGCAGGTAGTTTAACTTGGGTTGTTATCAATATTGATGGTGAGAATACCTCCGATATAGACCACCAAGGGCACAGAGATAAGCGAATATCCCAGCATGGGCAATATTGTCTAAGAGGATACCTCAAATAAGTCTGTAGGTTGGAAATGTAAAGAAAAGATATACGAAGTATACCAGAGCTTTTCCTTCTTATAGAACGGAATGGGTAGCGAATATCGAGAGGTATGCTAAATTCAAGTTAGAAAAAGCGTGAATAAAGCTGCTTGGTATTTCTGTGGATGAAGAGAGGTATTGAACACACTCTCATAGAACCCTAAATCATAATCGAATCAACCATAAATAGCATTCTGAATCTAACACAAGCTACGAAAAAAAACCAAAACATTCTGAAATTAACACAAAATATGTTCTTGACAAAAATACCTTACTCGGTGTCTTAAAAAATTTAGAGAAACTCTCGACTAGGAGCAACCCTATTGTATTTAAGATGCTTACAGAAACAACTAAGTAAAAAATTGCCCTCCTTTTTTTTCATTTCAGTTAGGGACGAAAAAAAATCGGTTTGTCATGAATCACTCTGACATCAAAGCTTGCACATTAACAGCCTGCAATATCTGCCAATTTTAGGGAGAAATATGTTAATTAACAAATTTTGATATCAACTTAACTTTGGATGTCATAATTCTAGCTGTAAGATGACGTACTGCCAAAATGGAATTTTTTTTCTACATACAGACCATCACAGTGGAAACATTCTGTCAACTCGAACTTTCAATTACGAGTTGAATTTTTGCCAGAATCTTGCGCAAGATCGACCTACGAACCTCCATCGTTGTTCCAAAGGAAACGAGTGAAAAAAGGAAACAACATTCTCACTTTTCAGCTAATAAAATAAAAAGTAACCGAGACCTTGCTCGACAAGAATTAAGTAAAGAATTTCCCTCACAGTTTGACACCGAAAAAGTTTACCACAGAATTCAGAACATTTTCTACGACGATGTTCGCGCGAAAGTGAGAAGTCGAAGAAAGAAAGAACTAATGCACAGTTTTTTGTTTCTTTAGGAATTCCTCTCTATTGTCACTGAAACTTAAAGTTTCTTCTGTCTGCAGAGAGGACCGAACTACTGCCACAATAACTGACAAAATACGTGAAGTTTCCATCCAAGTTTTTCCTCAGTATAAAACTATTTGCAAGAGACAATAAATAATACAAAGCCAAGATCCAATCGCACCAGTAACTTACCCTCAAAATAAGGATAAAAATGAGTCAGAATTTAGGTCAAACTGGGTTTGTCGATACAACCTTCAAATGCTGCAAAACCTATACCAGGAATGAATAAAGAACCATTCTCTTGCGTTCAGGCCAATTTCTGACCACGAAAGACACGACCCTATCACTGAATAAAGTGGCCTGTTTTTGCTTTTAGTTTATTTGGGGCTTTGTTGTATTAATTAAACCTAATCAAGCATTTGTCACCTGCCAAATAATAGTAAAACCGGAGAAAAACTGCTATTGTGGCGTTCAGTGGATGGAAGTATTTCCAATTTCCACTCCTTAAGATTGCAGACTTTTGGATTAGACATCCTTTTTCTCAGCAAATCCTACCCATTTTTTTGCAAATAACTATATTTTTATAAATCTACTCCCACGCCACTTATTTATATAATTTTGCAGTTGGAAATTTTCAGGGTTTTGATTATACACCGCAGATACCGAGTGTTATGTACCGATAAATGATTCAGATTGGTGTTACTGTTATCTCGAAAACTATAAAGCATTTTATCATAAAATGTAGACACTTGAAGTGCTGAAGGGTTCACGCCACTCATTATTTTAGCAAAAAAGTCATCTTTTCCGGGTTACACAAAAATTGTCGAAAAATATTTTGTGAAAATGAAATAAACTAGTATCTTGTGTGGTAATAAGGGCCAGCGTTTAAGTTTTAAAAAAATGGTATCACTCAGAAAGCCTTGTTTTTTTCCCTGGTTGCGTTAAATTAACTGGAATTTAGTGGCTGTGGAATATATTCCTTTTTTAATTAAAATTAAAATTTTTAACACAAAAAAATATCATACCTTCCAGACCACCTTAACAACACATCATTACCAGTTCCCATCCTTTCCCACTCAATTATCCATCTTCGAGATTCAATATCACTAACTTCATGTGCATAATTCAACGTTGTGTCAGACTGTCAAACAAAAATCTGCTCTTTATGACAGAAAATTTTAATTTGTAAAGCAGGTACTTTAACTTATACTGTTATTAATATTCATCGGGACCATTTTTGAAAACTGACCGCCAAGGACAGGCTATAAATATCATATCATTGTGGTCAGGAGATAATGGAATGGCGCGAGCAAACTAAAATATTTTAATTTCTCTCAAAGGAGAAAATATCGTCAAAATGATCAGAAAATAAAATGTAAAAAAATCCGTGACGTCTTCTTAAAAATTTTGAGAGATGGACAATTTACAAACACACGAAAAAAACAAATAGGGTGAAACGATGAATAAGACAATGAACAGGGTGCACTGACAGACCTGAATAAGGAACAGAAACAATCTCGCACATATTTGCTGAAGAAAAATTCTTCAGCACTTGAAGTCGTAGGAAAGTATGGCTTAAAAGATAAAGTGATCTTACAAAATAAATATCCGAACAGTGTCATACAAGCTTTTACATAGAGTTTCGTACATTTACTTATAATAGTTTGTGATAATGAGGAGTCGGAACTTCCTTTTTTAAAGGACATGAATAAAGTGTACCACAAGTAGGTGAGTCTAAGTATTAGTCAGGGCAGTGCACTTGAATTGTATGCCAGACTACCTTTTATCCGGACGTAACACAGAGCCAGAGCGAATATAGCAATCTAACACAACTTTGACACGATACCACATTACATCATGCAGAGTATATATGACACAACGTTAAAGAAATGTTAAGTTAATTTCATTTAAAAAATGTCTGAAAAAACTGGAACATTATCCCGAAATATTTGGAAAGAATATCTCTAGGGAAGCACAGTTCAGTATGACTCAATTTGATATGAACAGAACAAATTTCTTTTCGTCATAGAGTATTCTAACGACACAACAAGGAAATTATTTTTGAGTAGACAATTTGACAATTAATTGTTAACTCAACGATTTCTTGGTATTAAAGTTTTCTTTAAAATATTCTAAACAATCACATACTTGAAAATCTAGGGATATAGCCAAGAGAAGTTACGAATTGATCCAAATAAAATGTGTTAAAATGTTTTGAATAACTCCATCGAAATACCACTGAGACAAAGGAAAAGCGAAAATTATCCTCGTTAGAATTTCTTGTCTTATAATTTTTTTGGTAATTAACACGATAAAAGTGATGTTCTCTCGCACGCTATCTTGAACGCACTCCAAAAGTTGATGGAAATAATAATTCAAACAAAGCGCCATCAGTTGTTTC